AAGCCTTGCTTAAAGTATTAATAAGTTTCAACTTTGAAACTTTCCATTCACATATATATTTAAGTTTATTTAAGACTTGCTTAATATTTAAGTATTAAGAAGTTTCAACTTTATAACTTTAGACAGTGATTTTTATATTTGATGATATTTTAAAAAACATTCTTAATGAAAAATTCATAAATAATCCACTTTGTCCGTGGCACTCTAAGCAGACTCGAGACCACGACCTTTTGCAATCCGGTCGACCGCTCTAACCACTGAGCTACCCAGGACCTAACAGGACTGTCGAATTTAATCTGTAGTAGCGAGAAAATAACAAGCGTTTGAGAAATTCAGTCTTGTTAGGTCCTGGGTAGTTCAGTGGTTAGAGCAGTCCCCTGAATTGCGAAAGATCATGGGTTCGAGTCTCTTCTCAGAGTGCCACGGACAAAGTGAAAATTTTTCATTAAGAATGTTTTTCAGTGCCAGGGACAAAGTGGATTTTTATAGCATTTTTTATTAAGATTATTTAGACAGTCATGTTACTTTATATTTGTTTCTGATCATATAATCACTCTTTTTCATCCGGTTTCTGAATTGACAATATAAAGTGAAGTATGTCTCAACCCGCACTTAAACCCTCTAAAACCCCTTATACCGGTTTTTATTTTTTTAATGATCAGTTGAAAGCAGTTGATAAACCTAGTACTTTTCGCCATGTCAAACGTAAAAAACTTAAGTTATTGAGAATAATCAGTTGAAATTTTGTAATGTTCTCAATCCAGAAACCAGCCGTTAGTCATAATTATCAAGCAATAGGTAATTAAATATTGATTTTTTTATACTGTAACAGAAAATAAACAGATATATTTGTATGCTAATGTTTTGAATGTCTAGTTATGACAATAATAGTAGTAACTGAGTAGTCACGAGTAATAATAGGCGTCGCCAAAATATCCCATACTGATAGCATAAACGCTTTACAATGAATTGCAAGGCCACGACCCACACTCTTAACTTTTTATTCTTAACTAATAGCACAATTTAGTAAACAGTTATTTAAAAAATTAGCATCTTTATTAATTCGGACATACTTTATTATAATAAGTAGTATTGTACGCTTAAGTCTAAACAATAAAATCACATTAGTATCACATTACTTAAAATATTCTACAATTCGTTTTACATGTAGTAATCAGCAGTATTAAAAATGGCTTTATAAATAATTATTATGCAGCTTTTCAACCGGAAATACACTTAAATAATATAATATCCGCTAAAATGCGATAAAAGCTACTGGGAAGTAATTTCTTAATAAAAAAACTGTTCAAAAGTTGATAAAACATAATAACTTTAGTCGAAAACATTCTTTAAGGGTGACCACACCATTATTTTAATTTTATAATGCAACATAATTATTTGCTAATTTGATATCCCATTTTTTTAATGCTTTATTATTAATTATATTATTAGTTGGGAGAGTTAATCATTTGTTTTAGGTCTCCTAGAATATAGTCAAGCCTAAGGGTACTTATATATATACATATTTCATATCTCATAAATAGTTTACACGAGCTCAGTAACCTACGCCGAAATCGAGACAAGTCAGCGCAGTATAAATTGAACCGTCGCAATAACTACCGGCTCATAACTGATCTGATGTAAACTGAGCGATCACTTTTAAGCGCCAACCCTAGCGCTGGATAACTAACCTGTCGTCTGACTCCATGTAAACAATAATTTAGATAAAATTTAACTTAACAATATTAGTTTAAGTAAAATCTTAGTTTAGAAGAGTATTTCAGTTAAGTATTAATTTAGTATCCTTATGGTAACTAAATCAGCGTTTCTCAGTGATCTCAATGGAGCACGAGGGTTCCACAACAAAGCATATATTAGGTTTCCGCAAAAAACTTGTCTTATTTACTAATTATATTAGTATACTTATAAAAGTAGGGTTTATTTTAGGGCTCCGAATCCAAATCCAAATAATACAATTGAATTTCAAAATAAATCAGCGGTTCTTGAACTTTTTTGGTGTTGGGGGTTCCAATGCATATGTGTTGAGCAAATTGTCGCCATAGTCTTTTTTATGAAATATAATTACCTACTTAATACATTTTAAGGGCTAGCTCTCACTGGTGGGACAGTACGGCAGATTTTTACATTGTGTTCTTGACTCGTGTTGAGGCATTCTTGGGTGGTATGCCGTGATTTCGTTGGATATCATGATTATGATAATGAAGGATTATCCTCAAGATTACAATAAACCCTTACGCGGAGTAGATCGCTTGTTGCTTAAGGATATTCAAAGATAGAAACCTTCTCACTATGAGGCAAGGATTTGTGATTATTGAAAGCTTGATCAGGTCAATGGTGAAACACACAAAGAAACAAATGGGATCCGTTATCTGAACAAACATGTATATATTTTCTACTTCACTTAAATTAAACTATTAAAATAAAAATATTACATATAATAAAATGTAATATTTTTATATTACATTTTATTAGACTATCGATACATCCAAGTGCTCCAGTCACTGTATGAAAACGCCACCATGTCAGTTCGGCGCCAGGACCAAAACTCGAAAGCAATACGACTTCAGCGTGGAGTGAGACAGGGCGAAGTTATATCGCCGTAACTGTTCACTGCCACACTGGAGGACGTGTTTAAGCTTTTGGACTGGAGAGGACTTGGCATCAATGTAAACGGCGAGTACATGACGCACCTTCGTTTCGCTGATGATATCGTAGTCATGGCTGAGACCATGGAATATCTAGGCACAATGCTCGAAGACCTCTGTAGAGTTTCCCAGCAAGTGGGTCTTAAAATGAACATGGAGAAGACAAAAATAATGTCAAACTCCCATGTCGTACCCACTCCAGTGAATGTTGGAGGCTCTACATTGGAAGCTGTCGACGAGTACGTTTACCTGGGACAAAAAGTCCAATTAGGTAAGTCCAACTTCCAGAGAGAGGTAAATCGACGGATCCAACTCGGCTGGGCAGCGTTTGGGAAGCTACGCAATGTATTGTCGGAACATCTACCGCATTGTCTCAAGAGAAAGTCTTTAATTCGTGCGTGTTGCCAGTGATGACATACGGTACTGAGACGTGGCCGCTTACGATGGGTCACATAAGGAAGCTCAAGATCGCTCAGAGGGCAATGGAAAGGGCTATGCTCGGGGTTTCTTTGCGAGATCGAATCAGAAATGATGAGATCTGCAGAAGAACAAAAGTCACCGACATAGCCCAAAGAATTGCGAACCTCAAGTGGCAATGGGCAGGGCACATCGCTCGCAGGACTGACGGCCGTTGGGGCGGTAAGGTCCTGGAGTGGCGATCGCGTACCAGGAGAGGCAGAGTTTGTAGGCCCCCCCACAAGGTGGACCGACGATCTGGTGAAGGTCGCGGGAAGCCTCTGGATGCGGGAGGCGCAGGACCGATCGCTTTGGAGATCTTTGGGGGAGGCCTATGCCCAGCAATGGGCGTCTCTCGGCTGAAGTGATGATGATGATATAATAAAATAAAATAATAAAAAATAAATACAGTCACTTTTTTGTGAAGAATAAAAGTTACCAATATATGAACAAGCTGGGGTTGTATTTTCTGCGTTCAGGAACCTTCCACAAGCTCTCATAATTCATCACAGGATATCGTTTCAGAAAATAAAAATGGCCGAAATGCCGCTTCTAAATTATAATCAGTAGCGTAACTACAGGGTGGCAAGCCTGCAAAACGCCACAGGAACCCTGCCAGAAGGGACCCCCAGTCAAGAGGAGAATTCCAACTCCCAACATTTATTACAACTGATTAAAAAATTTAATATCCAGGTAAACAAAAACATTCTGTCAAATATCTAGGCCAGTGCCGAATTAAGCCTTTAAAGTCAGAGCGGGGCTGTGGCAATTTTTTTAAAGAAAAACTGCTCTTGAGGAATTGAAAACGAGACTTAGCACCGCACCAATTCTCCTGCAGGCAGATTACTCACGGGCATTTGTATTAAGAAATGACGTCATTAACTGCGTTCTCGGCACCATCTCATTACAAGAAGACGGTAAAGACGAGAGGTCAATCGAGTAAGCGAGCAGACTACTTACTTCCGCCGAACAAAATTATTCGACAATAGGAGATCCCGATGAGAATTTAGGGAAATATCATGTTAAGTTTTTGTCATTTTTTCATGGTACGGATTCTTCTTCTCAAGTACCGGTAGTTGCTAAGTGTAATCGTGGAAGACCTCAACGTAGACCTCGTGTAGATAGAGTACACATCGCAAATAAACTGAAAAATTCTAGCTATAAAAAAATCGAATGAACAAAGATCCCGGTGATAGGACTGACTAATCTCGACATTTAACATCACACAACGTACTGTTGAAATTGCTCTTCGTCCCACCTTCGCCATGCGAGCTCAGTAGCGATAGCATAACTATATGTGTCTTTGCACTTTCGAAATTTAGAGTCATTCTTTTGCTGTTATGCTTGCAAGCTTTTCTTTATTATTGAATTTTAATTAATATAAAATTTATTATTAAAAATCAGATCTATTATCTTAGAATTTTATTTAAGTTCTAAATGACAACTTTTCTGCATTCTGTACTTTGCAAAAACGTCATTCTTGCCGGGTGTCGTGATAAGTCAACCTAGTAGTAAGTATTGTCATATTGCTTGTACAATGATTTATTATTAAAATTTCAAATTTATTATTCTGATAATTACGATATTATCAGAATAATAAATTTGAAATTTTTGCACCAGTTGGCGCATGCCTTAATTAGATCATTATTAATATCTCTATCTAAACTCAGCCGTTTATCTAATATTAAATTTTGGATTTAGCCTTAAATGCGGCGCAGGTTTGACACCAGATGAAACAAACTAAATATTGAAACAAAATAACATACCTATTTCACAGATTTCTATAGAATAAAGTCGATAGAATAATGTCGTCAGTTAATTTATAGAAATCAAAAATGGCATTTATATTATGTACACAAATTATTCGTTGAGGAGTCATTACAATTCTTCATGCATCATCTTTATAAGGGACGCTTCTACAAAGTTTTTGAAATCTTGTCGTTTTCTCACATGGTCTGCACATTTTGCTACTAATCTAAGAAACTCTTCTACATCGAATGAGTAATTAGTGAATTTAGCATGGGACCCGTTAGGTCCATGACCCTAAAACAAAAAAAAAATAACCTTAATACCAAAGTAATATTAAAACTTTTATTGTAATTGTAAACTAATTTATTTATAAATAATATGTGTACATAAACGTTCAGAAAAAACCTATAACATTTTTTCTGCGCGTTTTAATGTACACATATTTGGTTACCACATTAATTCAATGTATTAAGTTTAGGATGGAATGGGAAAATAGACACTTCTGTGTATCCTGACGTGCTGTTGACTGTACAGTCGGCCAAAAATATGATCTACCAGCCTACGGTTGAGGTTAATTTCAACGTCATGATACAACAAAATTGCATTTCCTTGCAATAATATTATAACAGTGATCACAAATTCCATTTTTTATTAAACATAATAAACTCCATTAAAACAACAAATTCCATTAAACATAATGAACTACTGATGTACAGTAAAGTCAAAGCTTAGTGATAGTTAGATCTCATAAAAACTTTTATCGTAACTGGTAAACCACTTTCTTGGCCGACTGTACCCATAATCTTGTTATTATCGGGGGTTAAAGTTATTTTCGGCTTTGACACCACCTTGTACATATTGGTATCGAAATCCGACAACGGCGATATACAAGAATGAAAAATCTATCGTATAAACACTATGCGTTTAAAATCGAATATTTAAAAAAGTACAGGATAATACAACGTAAGGGCCTAGCGAAATATTGAAGAATTCAACAGTGAAAAAATCATAGTACAGTCCAATATAACAACAAAATACACATAATATATTAGTATAAGTATACAAGTAAACATTAGGCCAAGTCAAGTTTCACACGCAATATAAATTAGAAAGAGGAATGATCAAAAACCTTCTAGCTGAATCACGTCTAGCCGAATTCCCGTCCAATAATCATCGGAAAACTTTTAGACGATGGTGTTACTGACCTACTAATTTGCGAACAAGAATAAGTTTACTTTTAAAAATTTGCACTGGATCAACTGTTACAATTCTACACCAACATAAAAAAACTAGTTCAGTTTTAAAGTAAGCAAACTTATAACATTTATAAATACCTCATCTTGTTGAACCATTTTATTTTTATTCTCCCATGTAACATATTTCAAGCCTCGTAGTCTAGCTAGATCGAAATAACAGTTAGGGTCTTCACAGTTGTAACTGAAACAACCACATTTGTTCGTGAATATATCAGGTGAGCAAAATATGGATTGGCATAGCGGTATATATTTTAGCAATAAGTACAATTGTATGTATTTTGCCAGATGTATCTATATTTTTTTAAGCGGAAATATACTCATAATACAGCTCAGACTATTAAGGGAGAGAGGGTAGTAATCAACGACACAGTGTTTTGCGTTTTGCAAGTGTGGAGCTCAATTATTAGTATTACAAGTGCCCGTTATCAGATAGGTGACTAAAAAGTTACTATCTCAAGCTCCTGTATGCATTGGATTGAAAGTTATGCTCTCTATGGTCGGCAGTATGCTCCTCCAATACACACTGTACCTAGAAGACTGGTACCCTAACATTGCAAACATTAATAAAATAATGACGATGAAACCAATACTAATTATGATGTACCTATATAAGTATGGGACCAGAACACATGACATATTTGACATATCAATTTATTGGGACAAATGTTAAGAAAATAATTATTACTAATTATACTTACATTTCAAACACTGCTGCCCAATCAGGAAGAAACATAAGATGAGTTAGACCTGCACCGTGAATACCAATAAACACATCTGTGTTATGTGTAATCTCTAATTGCTTCACAAATGGCATGTTTCTATCGTACACTACTCGCTGTACGTAATATCCTTTAACTTTAAGTAATGCATTCACAAGTTCTTTTTCATTCAATATGGATCTATAAGTTGTACCTCTAGAAAGTAATGTTACCCGTATTTTATCATTTTCACGTAGTGCCAACTTTACATTCAAAGAATGAAGAATATGTTTTGAGAACGCATGAAACAGTCCGCTTCTCTCACAGCCGTATATCTAAAAAGGAAATACTAATGAGTTTTAATTGATAATAGTATTTATTTTACAAAACTTTTTTATTTAATTAGGTTTTACGCTTACCAAAGGTGTATTATAATACAGGCCAAAGATCATTCTAGGTAAAAGGGGAAAAACGACATTCCGAAAACACACGATTTTCCCCCTAACTGTTTTTAAATCCCAAATTGGATTCACTGTGAAAGCTTTAAAAGCGTCCTTAAAAGCGGAGTCATATGTAAATGTTTCCCACACCAATATTTGATTGTCCCTTGAAAATGTTGATGGATGAGTTGAGTTGACATGAAGAGAAACATACAAGTTGAAAAAGTCGCAGAAATGATGATACATATTCACAGCTGAAAAGAAAAGGTAAATGTTTAATTATAACTATATATTCCGTCTGCTTTCCAAAAAACATTACGCCCTGTCTCCTTTAAACATCATCGAGTCATATACTTTTAGTGTCCACAACTTCGAATGAACATAGAGGTTCTTTCTGTGTATTTGTACATACAAACTGCCTTGGATGCAATAATGTCTCGTGCAAAAGCAAACCAAACATAAGTACAAGCGATTTACTTGTAGGCCGACAGACCAAATATTACGGTACCACAGCCCGCTTCACACCCGGCCTGGCTATATCATGATACGTACATGAGTAAAATGAAATTCTCTTTGATGTTCTGATATCATCTTTAAGCTGCGTAAAAGTATGCCATAATATATCTTACTAGACTATTACCATACGGCATGCGACGACACCCTGAAAGCTGTACGAAAATTTCCTGCTCGGGCAAACGCAAACTTTTTTATTTAGCTACAAGAGCGTGGCCAGACGATGGCCCGGGGGTGGTGGGAGGTCAAGTTGATTACAGGCAGTCCTCGTACTTACGGCATATTAGGTTCTCGAAATACGCGACGTAAAGCGAAACGACGTAAGTCGAGACATGTTTTTTCATATGTTTACATGTAAAACTCAAGTGTTAGATTCGACACGAACTCAAAATAAACAAAAAACTATAAGAAACTTTTCATAATAAAGTATGTATATCCATACTTTATTATGAAAAGTAAGTAATTAAAAATAAAATAATTATAAATGTACTTATGAAATTGCTAGTTATTTTTGGTACTCAATAATAATAATAAAACTTTAATAATCAAAATATGCAATGAGAAATAATAAATTAAACTTTTGGCTTAAAGAAACTATCAATTCTAGATAGTTTCGCTTCTTTCTTTCTGCACAAATTTTGTTATTAACATTAAAATCCCGCCGACAATGACCTCGCGACAAGTGAATTCTCCTATGCCGGAAATCGAAAAAACTGACGTATGCTCGAGGAACAGTGTCAAAACATTGTTTGACGTAACCTGAAACGACATAAATCGAAACGACGTAAGTCGAGGACTGCCTGTATTAAGAATGAGCTAAGTATGAATTATAGCTAAATTCGAGAGCACATGAAGATTGGGGGTTAGAATGTACACAACTCCTCTACTCCCGCTTTAAAAAATAGCATAGAGCAGAGCGTTGTCGAGTTTAGGAATAGAATTGGTAAATTAATTCGAGTTTCAACGTACACAAAAATGATCGATCAAGCAAGTAAAGACTTAGGACTTTGGGTGCTTTACATTAGGCAACCTTTTGAAATCGCAGCAGCCCCACCTGCCCCCCTTTGGCGACGCCCTTGTCTAGCTACAGTAGCTAGTCAAATGTAAACTCTATGGCAAGCATTACAGAAATCTCCTTAATTACCATCCATCCAGGCTTTACAACCTACCCTCCACATTTAAGGATTTCTAAGCACCAACTTTGACTTGAATTCAGGTATCCAAAGAGAAAATAATCAACCATGCTTGCTCATACATTTATATTATTATTTATTACTTACTTGCATCAAGTTTCATAATATATGTAGGTTTATCTATTACTAAATCGCACATGCCATCCTGTATTGGTCTCTTTTCAGTTCTAATAAAGTTAACCATCTCTGGTGCCCATGACTGTAAAGCACTCATATGATCTGCTTCTTTCATTAATCTTTCAGAATAATAATTGCAATGTCCACCTGCAAATAAGTAACTTTCGTTTATCTATAGTTATACATATTATGAATGTGAAAGTGTGTTTGTATGTCCGTCTTTCACGTTAAAACGAAGCAACGGTTTATTGTATTTTTTTTTGTGAAATGGTTAAAGGACTGTAAAGTAACATAAGCTACTTTTTCTAGTCTATTCTCCATGATAAACATACAAACTTCCACCCCCCTAAAGTAGGGGGTGAAAGTTTGTAGATATGTTTATCATTTCCTTTTGGAAATCTACCCCCAATCCCCTAAAAGAGGGGGTGATAGTGTGTACGGGACTTTCGTCAGTTTTCAAGGTAAATAGCTGAAAATTGGTATACAGACTATTTAATACAAACGAAAAATACTTGCATCAAGACTTTTTAGAAATCTTCCTCCAACCCCTAAAAACGGGAAGGTATGTTTGTATGGGACTTTCCGCAATTTTCAAGGTGGAAAGCTGACTATTAGAGAACAGGCTCTTAGTTACAAATAAAAAAATTATCTAAAAACTTTTAAGAAAAAAATTATTATCATCGATAAAAGATAAGAATTGTTACCCGCAGCCTCCGATAGATGGCGCTACTAGGTTTTTACACACAATGGACCAATTAAAGCATCCAACTGCGAAAAATCAAGGCCCTACTTACCTACAACTTGTTAAATATGGTTACATCAAGTGTTTATCTATCTATATCTTTATGCCATATCCCTTTGCAGGGTAGGAAAACCGAGTGCCAATGTTCATCAATAGTAAAAAATAGACTTATACAAACCTATTTGGTTGGGGCCTAATATATCCATCTTATAGCGTAAATTATTTCCTCGACCTACTAACCCAGTGAAATTCAACATGAGATTGCGCCCTCTGCAAAACCTGAAATTATAATTGGGCATGAGCAATGGTTTGTAAGCTTTGTTAGATTCTTCATGTTATGTTTGTGATCAACTACAGACTTCATACTTTGTAGGTGATTATTGATTGGACAGATCAAGGAAATGATAACTGGTCATCCATCCATGCCATGCAATGGTTTATTGCCATCGCAGCGATAACTTTGATTTTAAGTATAAGTATTGGTTTAAAGAAGGGCAACTTAATTTAAAGAAGGGTAAAAACATCCATCCAGTTTATACATGTTTTTGTACAAAAAATTATGCCTTTCAGTTTCAATTTACCTTTAGATATTATAAGATATCAATACACTTTCAACAATCTTTTTTATTAATATCTAACCATAGTTAGGGAAGACCAAAGATAGGCAAAGACGATGGCAGGGCACACGCACAGTAAAGACTAAGATTAAGCGAGACAGTTATAATAACAATATTTTCTGAAAACATATTTAAACAATCACTCACTCACTCGCAATCACTGCTAGTTGTGATTGCAGCAAATATTATTTCTCAAAGAGAAAGTTCAAATATAGTTCATAAACAAAACACATAATTTTTAGTTTACCTTAGATATTTAGAACATTCAAGTGAACTGTCATAAGGATATGATGCCTCACAGATGACCATCAATTCTTCAATCTGTTCCTTAACATAACCTGAAAACATTAATGTTCCTTTTTATATCCATCAATGACATCAAACTGCTATATATTACTTTCATTAAGTTATCAAAGCGCAATATTTTCCAAAACAGTGCCATTCAATTTATTTTGTTAAATATTTAACAATTTTTTTTTTATATAAGTTAAAATGGTTCATATTTCTGAATATATAACAAAAACCTATACTTTCACTTATAGGACACAAGCCTATTACATGAAAAGATAATTTATCTCAAACACTTTTAGACATATGACCAACAGTTATGTTTATTTTCATGTCACCTGAAAAGTAAAGGTATTGTATAAACACCCTTGAATATTATTATAGCTTGGAGCCCACAACATGTATAATTTAAAGAGTACATTTTTGATTTTCTTTTTTAAATGTCATTACTCTCCACTTTTAAATGTAACCTAAAAAGTACCCAAAAGGTAATGAAATGACTTAATGAAAAAAATATTGGTTCTTCAGCTCTGGCTTTTTTAGAAGCTTAGCTAATCTAAAATAAAATAATACTGTACCGAAATCGGCTTGCGTATAAAATGTAGAATACTGCGCCTCTTTTGTCTTAACCCACCCTCGATGATCACCTGGACAACGAGGTCTTATGTGATATGAATGAGATTCGTTACAATGACGCTCATAACCCCAGCAAACTTTTCTTCCGATAAAATTTTTGTATGGACATTCTGGATTTTTTGCACAATCTCCAGATACGCTTTCAAAACTATTCAAATAATATGGGATATGTTCCACAGGCAAATTCACATAATTTAAATACCCAAGTATATTGTTATGCAATGACATGATGAAAAAAATATTAAACCACATCAACCACATGATTACAGACAAATCGCATCAGTATTTATTTAAAATTAAAAACTATTTAAATCAAAAACAACAACCACGTTTATTTATTTACAAGAAGAGGGGAGGGGACAATTTATCAATTCGATGACAGTCAATTGACATTGGCAAATGACATTTTTACTAGCGCCATCGTTAGTATTGGTCCAGTAAACTGTAACGTCAACAGTATAGACACAACTTAATTTTAAGTGATTAAGTACAAGTAAACGCACAAATCTATACAAATTTTAAAAAAGGAAAGATACGATTGTTTGTGTGCATCGAAACGGCTCTGAAATTACTGGACCAATTTTAAATTGTTTCACCTATGTACAGCAGTCCACTGCTGGACATAGGCCTCCCCTAATACACTCCATTTTTTACTGTTTTACGTTATTCCATACCAACGACCTTCCTCAAATCATCGCTCCAGCTTGCTGGAAGTTTTCCTACACTAAGCTTGCAGATTCACAGTCACTCTAGAACTCGCTTACCCCATCCGTTATCGGATTGTCGACAGACATGGTGAGTTCACAGCCACTTCAGCTTACAAATCCTGTGTGCTATGTTGATTACTGGTTTTCTGTCGGATGACATCATTACGAATTTTATCTCTTAGAGAAACTCCGAGCATAACACGTTCCATAGCTCGCTGAGCGACTTAGAACTGGTGAACCAGCCGTACTGTGAGTGTCCACGTTTCAGCACCATAAGTCATGACGGGTAGGCTACACTGATCGAAAAATTTAGTTTTCAAGTATTATGGTAGAGATGATGAGAAGACTCGACGTAGCTTAACAAAAGCTTCCCAACCCACTGGAACCATCTTCTAGCCTTTTCAAAATTGTTGAACATTACTTTGGTTTTATTTAGGTTCATTTTGAGACCTACTCGTTGTGAGCGTAATGTCAGACCGTCCATTATCTGTTGCAACTCCGTCAATGATTCAGCCATTAACACAATGTCAATTGCAAATCGCAAGTGCGGGATGCGATCACCGTTTATATTATTGCCCATTCTTTTCCAGTCAAGCCTCTTGAAAATATCCTCCAGTGCGCATCTAAACAGTTTCGGAGATATGACATCGCCCTCTCTCACACCTATGCGCAGTTGGATGGGCTCAGATTTTTTATTCGTCTATGATGCCATATCCTCCGCGAAACCCCGTCTGCTCCGGAGGCTGAAACTCGTTGAGTCTTCTAGAGAAAACAACTCATAGACCTGGTTCAAAAGCGAGATGGGTCGAGAATGGTCCACGCACTTAAAGTTCTTCCATAGTGAAGAACGGTGTTGAAAAGTTTCTGTAATTCTATTACAGGAGCTCTTCCTGCCTTCAGAAGTTCCGAAATATTTTTGTCTTCACCGGAGGCTTTTCCATTTTTTTATTGTTTCAGGGCCAACACGATCTCGTTTTGGTTGATATCCGGTTCATCGGTATAGTAGCGTATCAGGGTAGATCTAAAATCGCGGTCGTCATGATGGAGACAAGGAGTATGTGCAGTGCATATTTTAAACTTTATTATTGTATTTTTTTTTTGTACATGATAATAATAATCATGATATAACTTTTTGGAAGCCTTTTAGTATTTGAAACAATTTATTTATTTATCATTAAATTTAATGGCATCGCACAGCCGCCATATTCAATTATGTAACGTTATCTATCTAAAGTTTTGAGCTTCAAAGACAAATCTAAAGGTTGTTACAGACTCACGCCAAAAAGTCTCGCTGGGGCCTTCTTGGCGAGAAGAAATATAAAAGAATGAGAAGGCGAGAAACATATCACATTCGCCAGAGTCGGGTGTTCTCGGGACTTCACGGCGACCTTGTCCGCCCACCGATATCTCAATGAGGAAGTATTTAAAAAAAACATTAGTTCCTGAAATCAAACAAGATGTCGCTACTGTACGTTCTTGATTTCTCCATAACTACCCTTCCGGTTTTCTTTCATGTTTAAAAGTAAATTAGTTTTCAAAACTCAATAAACAACTCATATTCTATTTGTACTTTTTTGGAATTTGTATTGATATCTAAGTTTCAAACTTTTCAAATTTCAGTTTCTTAATGTGTTAGTTAAAGGAACGGAAATGACTGTCTCTGGTCTGTTCGTTTCCTGCAAAAATCAACTTTTGCTAGAGTCGCCATCTAGTGAAGGTGATTTCGTGTTTTTTTTAAATATTTCCTCATTATCTAATCCGTTCAGCGGTTCTGAAGATATGAGGTATTAAAGAATATTACATATATAGTACATACATAAAAAATAAACTGCAAAGGAAGGGTCATGTATAAGAAAAACATAATCCTTCCTTTGCCGTCGGAAAAAAAAACAGTTAATTCCTGACTACGAATCAGCTGTGGAGTGCAGCAGTAGTTTAAGGAATTGGTGGTTAGGAATAAAACAAAGCTGTGTTGGAAATGAAACTTATTTGTGCATGATAAGTATATTAGCGAAACTTTTTTTTTTTTGCTTACTCTCTTAATGCTTACAAATATTTGTTTAAGTATGGATCGCTCTTTTCAGCTTTAATACATATATATTTAGCTATCCAAAAAAGCTACTGCGGTTCAGAATAATATCAATAAGAAATATTTGCTGGACTCAAGTTACTGCCCAATTAGCTATTTTGGCTAACCGATTACATTTTTTTGCTGACAAATATTCGATTATGTTTAAATAATCAGTTTAAAATTACAATAGTATAATGAGACATATTTTCGGGGTAAAACACATTCAAATGCGACTTTCTTGGTTGTATATAGTCACATTTAATTTCATTAAAAAATCATATTACACGACTTCGCATCTGCATACACTGTAAATTTAATAAAGACATGTACTTTTTTTAGTTTCTCGTGTAACTGAACCTGAGAAAACATTATAGCCCTTATTACACTACCCAATATCAAAGGCGCTTACTTGTCCAGACGATTGGGCAATGTAATAAGAGCAATGATCGGCAGCGATCTTCATTACGCCCTGAAGAGTGGGTAATGTAATAGCTGTTAGGGAGTAAAGGAGCTCATCCTAAAGTTATTTAAATGTGCTCAATCGTCGCGGCGAGATTGACTTTCATGTTCACTAGGATTATTAAGACTGTTGCACATAAATAAAAATATATGTTAAGATGTAAGACCATAAATTAGATAGTTCATCAATTAAAAAGATAATAAAACAAATTATTATTTTTAAATTTTATTGCACTGTAACAACTATGGTAAACTATACCAGTATTAACATTTGGATATGTCGCAGCCAAATGGTATAATCAGCCGACCAATTTCGATCAGCCGTGTAGCTGAAAAGTCAGCCAACTAATTAATGGGTCAATTCATTGGGAATACCGAAATTTAGTGGTAGGACTAGAAGTAAAACATAATAAATATTGTAGTGGGTGATTTTATTTAAAACTCAAAACCTCCTTGTTACGATCTGTAATCAATACAGATATAGGACTGATCAAAAAGATAATAACACACTACTTATTCTCGATCTAGCTAGACGTGGATTATGAACTTAAATGCATAATTTACCCTTGAAATTGGGTAATGTAATATGAATATATACGACTGCAATTTCTGGAACTATAATTACAGATCGGTCATATTGTCGTTGTCAGGTATGAGGAAGTATTTAAAAAAACATTAGTTTCCGAAATCACACTAGATGTCGCATCGGTACATTCTTGATTTCTCCATGACAGAAGGATTGTCTGTTGAAGGGAGCTCTCTTTTGTAGAATAAAAATATCTTGAATGCCAGCCGCAGAACCCCACAACAATAGACCATACGTCTTTACACTATGAAAATAACTAAAATATACCAATATTGCTGTTTCAACATTTGTCAAGAATCTAATTTTCTTCACAGCAAATGCTGCAGAACGCAGTATACTTGATAAGTTATCAATATGAGGATCCCTTTGCAGTCGGGAATCCAGTGTAACACCAAAGAACTTAGTCGATTCTACCAACTCAACTTTTTCACTATTTACTTTTATGAGTGTACTAACATGCCTCACATTAATGCAAAATTTATGCATTTCGTTTTATTTGAATTGAGCTTTAAATTATTACTATCAAACCACTGTCGGGTGCATCATTTACATCGTCAAAACAATCATTACCCCTCTTAACTTTAAACACTAAAGATGTGTCATCTGCAACTTTTTGCCCTACCACTTGTTATTAATAAATAATTTTTAATTTGATGATATGACCTCTGTCTTCTCTTTCTGCATCAAGTCTCCCGCCCACGTCTATAGGTTATATTTATTTGTCTACAGGGCTTGCAACCTGAATTTTCGATGAAAGGGAATTTGCAACCATTTGGAGGCTCCATCAAGGAGACCATCCCCTCCGCCCTCCTTTTAGTCGGCCACTGACTATCGTCATTAGACTTCAGTGTCGCTACGGTACGTTCTTGATTTCTCCATGACAGAAGGGTTGTTGATCAATGTGACCCTAGAAGATTGGTGTAAAACAATGTAAACATGTGGGAGCATCTTGGAAATAAATATTTGAAAATCGACGGTCAGGTAGATAATAAAATGGACCGGCTTATACTTTCTACAGCTTTTTTTAAATTTTTTTACATACTGAGGGGAACTGACCTTAACATGCCGTCGACCTGGACAAAAGGCCGACTGAACCCGGGCTCTCCTGCTGCGGAGGGTTAAAGAACCCTCTATCTACAGCAGGCCCACCGTGCAAAACCCCCCGTACCACCCTCGCGCATAGTCTGGTACCTGGTATCGTAAAATAAGTCCCAGGTAGATCCAGACCGTGGGGGACACCCGGTGGTGTCCCTCCCTCTTTGCGGGCGGTAGGTTTCCCAGGTGGTTACAAGGAACCCTCCGTAGACAACCGGAGGTGGTGCAATGACCGTGAGGGTTTTCATCCCCCACAGTCGCCTCCGAAGGAGGACCGGATGCGCTATTGAGCAATCCGGACCCCCTGTATCGTCTAACTAAGTCCTGACAGTTCGCTCCTCGGCTTCCCCATGGCTTTCTCCTCGGGCAGCCCCGGCGCCCCTCTGGCGCCCTTCGAGCGAAAAGTCAGAGCTTTCCCGCTGCCATGGTGTCGACCACTGGTCGACGTGGCTCCTCCCTCCAACGACAAAATGCGCCAAAATGGTGAGTGCCTCGCTGCCGAGCCGCAGCCGACTCCATCCCTTCGTCACTGACCATGACAGACTGTTACTCGCATTCCAATGTCCTCTATACTGAGGTCCCTTTTGGGGTGGAAGGCGTTGGTCGCCCTCTACAACACCTGAGCAAATGTAAGGCCTCTCCTCTCTGCATCCGGCGTAATCGCGACGCTGACCGTTGCGGATTTAGGCGTTCGGATCCTAACGTCTTTTTTTCTCTCTTTCCTTTTTTATGCTTCTTTTCCTTCTCTCTTCTACCTTTTCCTTGTCCCTCTCTTTTCCTAATTTCCTCTTCTCCTTGTTCTCTGGTACAGGTGCTTTCGCATGGATCGCATTGGGGGTTGTCTTCTTGCGTACCTTTTTTGCCACCTGGCTCCAAGTCCCGTTCTGTGTCGTGTCCATGTCCCGAGAACCGCTAGATTCCCGGGATCTGCTCACTTACTCCGTACCATTTCTTCTTCTTTGGACTTTGGCTGCCTTCTTGTTGTCAGTGGCGAGGGGCGGTCGATATCTTACTGGAGAGATTTATCTTTCTTCCAACCCCTCAATTCTCGCTCCGACCATGGTGCCTACAGATTCCATGATCGAACGCATGAGCCTCTCATTGGGTTCGTGGCTGCCAGTCTCAGAACCATGAGCGCTTCCAGCTCTTTCTTGTAGCGAGCGCATCTGATCACTTAACTTCCTAACCTCCTATCTCAAACCCACCAACTCCTTCCTCATATCTTCCATTCTCCTATCCTTTACTGCTTGAATGTCCTTCAGCCTCCTAATTTCGTTCCGCAACTTTCTGTTCCCATCACTTTTTTCTCTTGCCTTATCGTACAGCATCCTCAGTCTTTCAAGATCCATAACCTTTGACAGATCCACCGTTTCCAGTTCCACTTCCCTCAAAGCATCAGCAATCTGATCCTATGTGCTCCGGTCTACCCCTCTCAGCACCATCACATTCGATACTACGTCCTGTAGTGTGCCCGCCACATTCTTTAAAATCTCCTGCTTCTGTTCCACCAGTCCGTCCACAAACTTCAGGCATTCCTTGTGCACCTCATCTCTCATTATGGACTCCGGATCACTGTCCTCGTGCTTACTTTCCTCTACCAATTCCATTCCTATGTCCTCCCTCTCCTTGTCCCTATCCAGGTTTCTACCCTATGTTGGTCCATCCGAGCTAGTGTCCACCACTACTATTCTGTCTGACACTGATGAGTCTACATCCTTTTCCCTGACTTCCCCATCCTTCCTTTCTCCTAGATCGCCAAATGCTTTGGTGTTTCTCATTCCCTATCCTTCATTGGATCTTGACCTGATCGATCCTCCATCCGAGGCATCAGACCCGTTATCATCATTCCAAGGCTCCTTAGAACCCTCCATGCCTTCGCTCCCCATGTTGGTGCGGCGAATAATAGCACCGCTACTGATGTGCCGTCCTCTTTCAGCCATAGAGATCTTCGCAACCGGCGAGATCTGATGATTTCCAGACTCAGCCGAAATCTCCCTATGCCTCTTCTGACCGCCAATCCCGGATGTAGATTGATTAGCGTGTCTTTCCCTTCTCTCCTTTAGTGTTATTATCTGTCGGAGACAGCATCTCCTCAATTCGGTTCCTGCCCTCCTCCGAGCGTGGGCAGGCTGTGACCAGTGTTAACGCGCTTGCGCCATCACTGGTCATAGCGAGAGATTCTCCCGGCCGTCGGGTACCCTCCGGTGGTACTTCTATTTTTGTCTCCGAACTTTTCATGTTAGTTGCCTCTTGCAGGTAAGGCACCCGAAACACCCGACTCCTTCTCCACTACCTCCTTTGGACAGCGACCCTCGGTCCTGCACCATGTACGGGATAACGAGCGTGAGCGGAGGTGGCTCAATAGAGCCGTTTTTACGCTGGTACGCCGTACGGACGCGGGTTAGACCGCACACGCCCATCCGACGTACCGACCCTCCGCCCACTACACCCACAACTTCGAAACCCCAAGTCGCGGTCTCAAGAGAGACCTACTTCCCCCCTAGACACCACGATGCAGAAGGTCCCCCCCTCCCTGTCCTTAAGGACTCCCCCCCCCCACGTCCAGGTCGCCCGCCAAGCCCCCAGCGTCGGACTCTTGGCCAATGGGATAGGGATCAATGAACCGATTAATACCGAGTCACATTAATCCCTATACCCGGGGTAAACCGTCCCGACAAAAACAGTTATCGTTCCCAAACCACGTATGGGAATGGGAAAGGCAACTGTCCGGGCCTACTAGGAGGTGTTCCATACTTTCTACAGCTGTTATATTAATAAGTATTAAAATATATTTTACAATTTTACAATATAGTTATATGTGTATAACAATCGACGTAACCCCAGAAAATTGGTTTAAAACAATGTAAACATGTGGGAGCATCTTGGAAATGAATATTTTAAAATCGACTGTCTGGTAGATGATGAAATGAACCGGCTTATACTTTCAACAATTAGTGATAGCGAAACTAAAGTCTAATGACGATAGTCAGTGGCCGACTAAAAGGAGGGCGGAGGGGATGGTCTCCCTGAGGGCCTCCAAATGGTTGCAAATTCCCTTGATCATCGTAAATTCAGGTTGGAAGCCCTATAGACAAATAAGTATAACCTTTAGATGGGGACGGGAGACTTGTTGCAGACAGAGGTCATATCATCAAATTAAAACTTATTTATTAATACTATTAATAACAAGTGGTAGGGCAAAAAGTTGCAGATGACACATTTTTAGTGTTAAAAGTTAGGAGGGGTAATGATTGTTTTAACGATGTAAATGATGCACCCGACAGTGGTTTGATAGTAATAATTTAAAGCTCAATTCAAATAAAACAAAATGCATAAAGTTTGCATTAATGTGAGGCATGTTAGTACACTCATAAAAGTAAATAGTGAAAAAGTTGAGTTGGGAGATTCGACTAAGTTCCTTGGTGTTACACTGGATTCCCGACTGCAAAGGGATCCTCAGATTGATAACTTATCAAGTAGAGTGAGTTCTGCAGCATTTGCTGAGAAGAAAATTAGACTCTTGACAAATGTTAAAACGGCAATATTGGTATATTTTAGTTATTTTCATAGTGTAAAGACGTATGGTCTATTGTTGTGGGGTTCTGCGGCTGGCATTCAAGATATTTTTATTCTACAAAAGACAGCTGTTCGCGCTATATATAGTTTACGGTCTAGAGAATCTCTCAGAGAAATATTTAAAGAAATAAATATTTTGACTGTCAATGGCTCTCAATACATCTATGAAAATATTATGTACGCAAGAAAACATTACGATTCCTTCACAAAAAAAAGTAGTGTTCATAATCTTAACACAAGAAATAAAAATAAATTTGCCGTTCCAAGCTTCAGACTTCGGAAAACTAGAGGATAATTTCTGGATAAATGCATTGCTATGTTCTATAAAGTTCCACAAAATGTAATTGACCTACCCATAAATAAATTTAAAATTCATGTAAAGAACATACTTTTGAGTAAAGGCTATTATAAAATTGATGATTATTTTAAGGATCGCAATGCATGGAATTAATAGCTTTCGCTTTGTTCTATAACGACTAATTATATGTACAACCTATGACCCACAGACTTTGAAAGTTGTATTTATTATTGTGATAATACTTATTATTTTGGTAATGACATGATTTATGTAAATGTCATTACTTATGATAAAGAGCTGGTAAGTTTCTTTAGCTTATTCTTCTTGTCAGCTAAAAGACGTCCTGAACAAGTGGTTGGGGAAAAAAATGTTTCGGACGATTCAAAAGTGCTTGTAATAAGCCTACTTGATAGATATTTTCATTTTATTTCATTTCAGTGATGTAAGTGAAATGCCTACCCACAAAATATACGTTCCTAAAAATATTTACTTTAAAAACACAAATAAAAGAAAAAAGTTTGTCTTATTAGTAGTCTAGGGTTTAATAACATGGATAACACCTCAGTCAGCCTCATCTCAAAACTAAGAAGTCGCATCTTAAAAGTTACCACAAATACAAAGCTGCGAGCATAGATACATTTAAACAATACTGAGAGTGTGAAGAATGTTTATGTTATCTCTTCATATTTTACATAGTTTATATTATTGTTTGAAGAGTCGGCATGATAAATGGAATTTACCAGCAAAGTGGATCCACCGTTATGAGCACTATGAGCATGCCCACAACCCTAATAGAGTTGTGACGTCACATTTTTGTGGTCTACTGACGTCGATTGTCCACGTCGAATTGTACTTGAGACCAAATTAAATTTAGAGGTTTGAATTTGCCAGGGTATGCAAAATGTATAAATCTCATTTTGTCAGAAGTTATACGTAATTTAAGTTTTAAACTTATCAATAACGATTTTATTATTACTTCTCTCTTCTATATCTCTCTTTTATTATTCGCCCGCATGATCCCTAGGGAAAAAGGAACCTTCCTTTTACTAAATAGTTGGTATAATTCAGGCTTAGAATTATCTTATCAAAACATCATAATCCAATGACTAGTTTTTGCATGAAAGAGGAACAAATATAAAATTTGCATATTTATAATTCAGGTAGGATATAGTTTATTTACCTAAAAAATCGACGAATGAATATTACACCAAAAACCTTCCAAAAAGTTACATACAGTAGAAAGAGAAAGTTACTACCATAGTCATTACTAAAAAGGATAAATTATTTTACATTAAACTTAGATAGGTGTCACTGTGTATTTCGCGCCTTTTCCGGAAACATTCCCAGGCAGAGGTAGATACATACCACGTGAACAGCGTCACCCAATCAGCTGGTAAATGTTGAATCGCGCCGTTTACTGTCTATCGCTTATTGTACTTGCCGCTTGAACGTTAATAAAATAACCTTTTTGTAGAGGTGATTGTAGCATTAATTAATTACCGATTCAATTGGAAAGTGTTGTGTAAATCTTAATTCCTTATTTTGGCGGCTTCTGACCTTCAATCGTAGTTCAAAAATATGTCGCCATTTTGACCATACTTATTTGAGTTGAGTATTTATTTAGTTTGGTCGTCGCTAAGCTTGTTAAAACCACATAAAGCGGTTTATTTAAATGGATGCACTATTGCAAGAAATATGGAGAATATGTCCCAGAATAATAGTACACTAAATTTCCTTATTCATGACGCCAATGGTTAGTAATCATTTGTTACTAGCTTTTGTAATAAATTAGATACAACTCGTGTTAATTGTATTAATACTTATATTGCAATAATCGTATAAATTGTTCAATAATAGCTTATTTATATTAGCAAGTCTAATTTAATTTGAAATGTGGGCGTCTAAGACCTCCCGGTGTTTATGTAATTGTTTGATTTTATTCATCAATCGTTTGAATTTGTTAATATATATTTTTTTGTTAAACACAAAGATTATTTTAATTATAATAATGTTCACTTCTACATTTCGCTAATGTATAAATATTATTTATTTTAGGACAGCCTCAGATGGTTAAAGTAGTACCAAATAAAATTAATCAACCACTCACTCAAATTAAAGTAAAACCTAAATCATTGAAGTTTATTAAAATACCGAACGTAGAGGTAGACACTCAGGTGAGTCCTTTTTACATATTTTTCATTGTTTTAACCATAAATAAGGTTTAGTCTTAAAATTTCTCATTCAAACTTGTGTCCTTATTAAACTTACATCCTAACTAATAGTAGTAGACCTTATGTAGATATAAACTTACATAGGTTTGAAATTATACATTAGTAAAATTTGTAAAAAGCTATCTTGAATTGAAACAAACTCACACATTCTGATTCTACATTTTGCACTTAAAACTTCTTATTATTTTCAAAACATTTTCTTATTTCTGTTCATAACATACTCATTGTGTATTCTACTTGCAGAGATCTGTATTTCGTGCCATTAAATTACCTGACCTTAAATGTTCATCTAGTAAGTATTCATTTAACATTCTGTTTTTTATAATTATTCTCACATTCACTCACTCTAAATTTCTTAAATCCAGATGATTTTTATATTGTAATTTTATCAAAATTCAATATTGAATGATATCAATACACAACACATATTTTACAGATCATAAATGAACTAGCTAAAACCTTTGCAATATGGATATACAAAGATGACCACTCAGGTCATATTTAAAAACCACTTTCTTATAACCATGAATGAAGCACTTATGTCTGGGATTCATAAAGCTAGTTTTTAAAACTGAGAGACCATTTTAATGTCTTTACTTAATTATTATCAATATGAAGTAAAACTAGTTCTTTACACACAGAAATAAGTCGCTAGCTTATCTGTAAATTTGCTATCCTGGCTTGAACAAGAAGCCTTGTGTATGCAGGGTATATTTTTGAAATTAGCCACAATTCTAAAAATATTTGTATTATTACATTAAAAACTTAAAAAATACAATTTGATTTGTAAAACAATAAAATTAGACCTATTTTAGTTTTTTATGTAATTAGAACAGAAATCAACAAAATAAGTCAATGAAAATTCACAGCTATCACACCTTTATTCTTTAGTACTTTAAAACAATCCTATGAGTCTCATATTTTTAAATCACTACAAATCAGGCGCACATATTTAAAATTAAAATAAAATTGGAGGCTGTATCATCCATGAAAACTCATTTTTTAATAATATATATTTATTCTAAATTTTGTTGTAAGAACACCTATTTTAAATATGATTGGGAATTGCATACATTTACTTTTTCTTTCAGAACTTGTACTACCAATTGAAGCTATAACGCATGTACAAAAACCTACTACTATAAAATCTGAACCATTAGAAATTGAGGAAAACCAGGTAAGAGTCACTAAAATATAGGAATTCTTTAATACTTTACATTATTATATCTGATCAGTTTTACATTCACAATGCTATCTGAAAAATATTGCTTAAGAAATCCACTTTGACCCTGGCACTCTTGAGACGGGACTCGAATCCATGACCTTTTGTAGTCCAGGCGACTGCTCCCCCAGATTCGAGAAATCCACAAAGTGGATTTTTTTAAGCATTTTTCATTAAGAATATTTTTAGTATAGCATTGTGAATGCAAAATTTATCAAATATAATAATTAGAACTAAATTTTGATCTTTATAGAAAATTCAGATATTTATTTTGTGGATTGCCTGAACATTGATGACAATATGCTCTGTAGAAGCGAAAAAGTAACATGTGCCTGTCAGTCCTGTTAGGTCCTGGGTAGCTCAGTGGTCAGAGCAGTCACCTGGATTGTGAAAGGCCAGAGTGCCAGGGACAAATTGGATTTATTAAGCATTTTTCATGAAAAATATTACTCTACATTCTTTTTTCAATGTAATAAGAGGAATATAGCATATATAATATATGTAGAGTCAATAGAATGTTAGGTTACACAAGTCTGTAAATTTTTTTCACATGGTTTTAAACCTTAGTTCATTGATTGAAGAGTTAAAAATTAATTACGATAATAGGCCAGTTGACAACTTTTTCATTTTATAAATAAATAGTCCATTAATCAGGGCTTGGAAACGGTTTATTTTTTGAACCGTTACGACGTAAGTACATGCGGTAGTTTACGTAAAAGGTTAAGCTCCTTTGAACAGGTTTTTAAACCGGTTCACTAGAAATACGGTTTTCTTCATTAACTGGTTTAAATATGACTCCAGACAATGATCTCACAAACTTTAGCGCGGTTTTAAGTGCCTATACTAATTTCTATAACATCCGTACACAGGTATGATTGATGTCGTCGCTTAAAAATGATATAATTCGCATTAAGAGTAAGAACGTTGCTTTTTACGAACCAAGCGAATTAACCGGTTTTCACTCCACATTTAGTTCCGATCCGGAACGGAACATTATAAGAGAACAGCCCTGCGATTCTGTAAAACTTCAAACCACTCAGGTGTCCGAATTCACGCCATTTAGTATAGAAATCCTATTGGTATATTTTATCGTACTAACTTTATTGGTTTTGGACTTTTGACATTGGATTTTTTACTCCACCAGCATCACCGTAAGCCGAAATATAATTTTCCCCAGCTTGCAGTTTTATTATTATTAAATAAAATATTTGCTATAAAAGCTCTAGAACATTGCACCAAAACCGAGCCTAAGAACAAAAAGCCGTTAGATATTTCATCTGAAATCGGGAAGACTAAAAATTGTTGTCAAACGATTAACGCGATTAACTATTATTGGCATATGTCACATCCAGTATTCTTATATTCATCTTCTGCGTCACTAATTCAGAGGCTGTACAAAGAATTTTCTCGGTTTCCAAACTTATGCCTGGAGAAAGTAAATCTGCAAGGGCATTTCCTCTTCTTTACCACTTTTATTTTGTTTGGCTCATTTTTTATTCTCTTTCCAATATCTTATTTACGTAACTTATTTTTCACTACCGAAACTACCCAGTTTCGGTAGTGAAAAATAAGTTACGAAACATGTCCATGGTATAAAAAAAGTTTAGATTTTGATTTAATTCTAAGGCAAGAAAACTTTTTTAAATTAAAATAACAGTTACAAGTAATTTTAATGAAAAATCCACTTTATCCCTGGCACTCTGAGATAGGACTTGAACCTACAACCTTTCGCAATCCGGGCGACTGCTCTAATTACTGAGCTACCCAGGACGTAACAGGACTGTCGAATTTTACAGAATGTATTTTCATTAATGTCCAGGCAATCCACCCAAACAGCCGAAAGAAATATTTTTACAAATATCGTATTTAAACTTTCGATTAGGAAATTATACTTGAAATTTCTATTGAATGAATTTAATTTAAAGATCTCAATAGTAACATTAAGTTTTTGACTGATTTTATTCGATAATTATGATTTTTTTCTGCTTTGGAGTTTTTTTTTTCTTTATTACTAAGAATGATGATTCATTGTGAATTTTATATTTTTTAGATGGATATATTTAAAGTCGCGGAAACTAGATCTGTCATATTCATATAATATTTTATGGGTTGTAATGAGTGTTAGCTAGGCAATATGATGGTAACATAGTAATATTATCCTGTGTTATGTTTGTAGAGTTTGAAGAGGATATTAATGTGTCGTTAGTCTTCACATTTTATATATGTATAAAAAATATAGAAACCATATCAAAATGGTGTTAACCTGGTTTCTTTTTTGTTTGCTAGCAACCTGTGTCAGAAATAAAACTTGTTGAAGCAGTACCTGAATTAGTACCAATACCAACAAAGCAAGAATCTTTATTGACTGGTGCAAGTCATAAAAAGCTTGACATATCCACAGTCATGTCAAATACCTCTAGAAGAAGACATGATTCTGACAATGATCAGCCTGCAGAATAGTAAGTTTTTTTAAATCTAAAGTGGAATATAAAATCTTAAACTCAGTTGTAAAGCTTTTTTCTACCTTGTGTGTTCATAAGTTTCGAGACAAACTTTTACTGAAAAAATAAATTAAAATGTTAATGGCTGTTATTTATTTTTTTACCGATTTTGAATTTGGAATGTTAACATTTAGTCTATTTGTATAGCAAATTCATTTGTTTATATTTTCTCGTGATGGGGGGAACGAAACAATTACGTGCACAATTTCGCAATTTAAGGCGGGAAAAAAACCGATGCAGTTTTTCCACGAGCAGAAAAGTTTTCCTGTAAGCCGCAACTTTGTCTACTACACAATACAGCGGTACAGAAAGACAAGTTCTCTGCAAGATCGCCAAAGGAGTGGTCGGCCACGCTCTGTGAGGATGTCTGCGAACTCAGAAACACTCACAAGAAACTCGCATTGCAGACTACTATTTCGGGCGTTTCAGTGAACAGAATACTGAAATATGATCTTAAGGTATAGCCGTAGAAAAGTTCACGTTTTAAACGATCGTCTTCGTAAGTTATGACACGAACGTTGTCCATTGCTGCTGAGGAGACATGATGCCAGGGAGATACTCTTCACTGACGAGATCTTTTTACTGTCGAAGAAAAGTTCAACCGACAAAACAATAAAGTGTATACAAGGATATCCCAGCTTCTGCACGGAATGTCTCACGCACTAATCATCCGGCAAGTGTGATGGTATGGTGAGGAGTTTCGTATGAAGCTATCATTCCACTCTATTTCTGCCAACAAGATGTCAAGGTGAAAGCCAAGAATTATCAGAGTGACATTTTAGAGCCCAACCACATTAGGTGACACCTCTGTCTGATACATTATTTCACAATAAGCATTGGGTTTTTCAGCAAGACTTGGCGCCATCCCATAAGGCAAAAAGCACCCAAGCTTGGTTGAGGGAGAATGTGCCGGCCTTCAAGGCCCTCCTCCAGCCCCAACTTCAACCCGCTGGATTATTCTTTATGGACTGAATTAGAGCTCAGGGCCTGCCGAAAGTCCCACCCAAACTTGGAGGCACTGAAGCGAACTCTTGTTCGAGAAGCAAAGCGAATTCCACTAGAAAATATTTGTGCCACCGTTGATAACTGGCCAAACGTCTAAGGGCCTGTATCAAAAACAAGGGCGGTCATTTTGAATATTATCTATTTTATGGTTACTGGAAATTTTAAGAATATAAGTTATATTAAAATAATACGCAACATTATTTCGTCTCAAAACGTATGAACACACGAGGTAAAACTATTTCGTATTATAGATTTTGTTTCTGTGATATAATATACTGATATGTTTATATATTATTTTAGTACTACAAAGAAGCGCAAGCATGCTGACAAAGTTGGTAAAGGTTTGAGGCATTTTTCAATGAAAGTTTGTGAAAAAGTAAGAAATAAAGGGTTTACTTCATACAATGAAGTGGCAGATGAGCTAGTTTTGGAATTTGCTACTGGGATTCATGGTTCTTCAGACAGTCAAGTATGTATTACCAGTGTTATTCTCCCCTGTTAAATATATAATTTAACATTAAATATAACTCGATGTAAACCTAGTAATCTAGGTGATTTAAAAAATATATGGAATCAATTTTATCTATAAATAAAATATTATTTGTGTTCTGGAACTCTAAATTATTGTGAAACAATGGTAATTATAAGATTAATATTTTAATTACGTTGTATTGTAATTACATTTATGAAAATACTATATGGTCAAATAAAATTCATTATCATTATAATAAAACAACTTTAATTTTTTATTCATCGAGAGAGTAAATTCTTCTTCTTCTTCTTCTTTAATCAATGTAAATTCTTTGTATAATGAAAGGGGTAAAGCTTTAAATACTCAGAAAATAATGTATTTTCATACAATATCATTAATCTGATTTTGAAGCAGCATTCATATGAATAATTAGGGTTATCATTTAAATTGAAACTTCATTTAGAATTCTAAATTCTGGACCTCTAATTAACTTTCTGAGTGAATTCAGTATTAACATATAAAATTATTATTATCCTCCTTCACGATTTGTCAACACATTACAGAATAGTTATTATCTAGCATATTAATGTTTAAAAAAATATTCAGAATATTTTCACTTTTCAGCAATATGACCAAAAGAATATAAGGAGACGAGTATATGATGCATTAAATGTTCTTATGGCTATGAATATTATATCTAAAGAAAAAAAAGAAATACGTTGGCTAGGTTTGCCTACTAATTCAGTCCAAGAATGTACTGCTCTAGAAAAAGAAAAACAAACTAAGTTGGAACAAATTCAAAAAAAGACACAGCAGTTACAAGAACTCATCCTACAGGTACCTTAAAAGATACTATTATATATAGATAAAATTGTAATAAATATAACATCTATTATGTTTGATCAACTTTGCATTCAAAAAATGTTGTTAATAAAAAGGCTTAAAAAATCCACTTGACCCATGATCTTTCGCAATCTGGGCGACAGAGGCGACTGTAACAACTGAGCCACCAAGGAACTTACAGCACTTGTTAGTACTACAGAGCGTACTTTTCATTTGTAAAAGTATTTCTTTCGGCTGTTTGGTGGATTGCCTGAAGATTTCAGGTCACAGGAAGGGACTTTGACATACCAGCAGCTCTACCTGTGTTTCACCTCCTCAGAGCTTCCTCAGAAGATGTTTGATTGTTCTTGGCCATCCATTTTATTATCTTGAACTCCTCTCCTTCGAAAGATGGTTATAGCAGTTTAGTTGCTGCTATATTTATATACTGCAATATTTTCTAAGGTCTTTGCTAAATTATGTATCCATACCCTAACAGTGGAGACAATGATGTTCCAGTGAAAATAAGATATAAAGTTGATTAACATATGAATGAGGGCAGTCTGATATTATTTATATATTATACTGAAATTATAAATTATGTTTTTTTTTTAATTCCAGCATATATCATTTAAAAGTTTGATAGAACGGAATAAAGAAGCAGAAAATAAGGGAGTGAAGCCATCACCGTCGTCAGCTATCCATCTCCCGTTTATTGTAGTGAATACTAGTGATAAAGCATTAATAGACTGCAGCATCTCCAATGACAAGTATGTATACTAGTAATACTTTATATGAGCATGCTTATTCCAATGCAATAATTAAAAAATCTTAGTCATTAAAATACCGGTTTTGTTTTAATGTGTCACTATTTGTTCAGAAGAATATTTAATTTCATTAGTGGCGACCGCCTAATTCTTTCGCCATAGCTATAGCTGTGTTATATTGATTTTATTTACCAACCTCGACACATTAATGAAGTAGGAGAAATAAAATCGCAGCGCCTCAACTGTTTGCTTATAATGTTACATATTATGTATTATTTCTTTAACGTTACGTTCGAGATATATACTAACCGTTACATGCGCTAGTAAAGAGAAACTTATAAGGACCGGACTTAACCTCTTTCTTACCTCGTTACATTTCCAATCAAAAGCTGCCATATGTTTTACTTCCTCTGGTAGAATCTGGCTCATAAGGTCATTAGTGCTGTATCTTACCCTTCTTTATATTAACTCTAATTAAAGTAATATAAGAAATAAAAATTAATGATATTTAATGTTTTAAGAAGTATCTCCAGCTTATATATAATACTTGTAACTTGGATTTATGAAAATAAAGTTCTTAAAATATGAACTTTCATTAATAAAGTTTTTTAATATGACTTTTGCAGGACAGAATATATGTTCAATTTCAATAAGAGGTTCCAAATTCATGACGATATAGATATATTAAAGAGAATGGGTTTATTATTTGGTAAGTTTATATTTTTTATATTTCCTTCTACACATTTTTTTATCATTACTGTCTTTAATTGGTATATTTTTTATGACACATGCTCAAATTCAACTTCTGGTAATGATCTTTAGGCTTGTATTGTTTTATTAATAATATGTTTTATATGTTTTCAGGTTTAGATAAAGGCGAATGTTCAGAAGAAGATATAGAAAGGGCTAAGCAAATGGCACCCAAGTCATTGGAATATTATGTAGAACGTGAGTGTAACTATTTGTGCACAAAACTATTTAAATAGTAATATTATGCAATTTCAGCTACCGCTGCATGTTAGGCTATCAAATATGTCAAATTTCAGCAATGCATTTTACATCTATCCTCAATGTATTAAGGTTTAGAATCGAAGAGGAAATTTAATAGTTTAGTATGACCTGACATGCTGTTGACTGTATACACACAGCAGCATATCAAATTACCATAAAAGTTGACATAAGTTATTATCAAATAATAATAAATATTTGACAACATCACATACATTGCTCAGGTCCCAAATGAAGGAACTTTAACACTTATTGCAAACAAACATATTTTAATATTTTTGTAATGTGATACTCTTAGTTTGCGTAATTAATTAAACTTTATTTTGACTCTTATAACGCAGGTATATATTTTTTATCTATTCATTGACAGATATGATTATAAAATAATAGTTTATGAGACAAGCTTTTATTGGACACATGGCTACCACAATATGGCAAATTCTCTAGTTGATTTTAAACTCTACCCATAACGAATTAAAGTTCAAATCAAGTGGGGAATTTGACAGATTGAGACGAGCTGTTGAGTGTGCATTGAGGAAATCTGAAACAATGAAGTGACCAATTGATTAATCTGATGTGTTGTTTTTAACCACTTAAATTAACACAATTACTTTTTTTTGTTAGTCTTGGGGTGATCAACTGTAACATACAAAATTCTATGCCTTTGTCTTAACATAAGAAATGCCATTTTGACAGTTGAGTAATTTTAAGAAAAACACTACTAAGCTTTAGAAAATTATCAAAAGTCATTTTATAACTATAGTTAACAGAAAAGTCGACTTTACTTCCATCATATAAATAAAACTTTGGTATACACTCAAAAGCTATTTCTTATGAAAGTTTTTCAATGTATTTGATGAGATGCTAGTAGGTTTCGTATCTATTCTTTTTGTTTTCATGTCACTGTTATCTGTCCAATGTTTAGGATCTACCTGTATTTTACAGAAATGGGCAGAGGAGAAATCACAAAATTGACAAGTCTGTTGGAGGATTTGGACGACAATGTCGAGGAAGAAGAGGAAACAGTGGAAGGTGATCCAGAGCAGACGGAACATGACGATGAGCCCGAAGAGGGTGACGGCAACGAGTACAGCGACGATGACAGCGATGTAGATGTGTAGCACAGTATACTTCCGCCTCTGCGTCTGTACTCTAAACGCTGAATTTACATTACGAAGTTGTTAGAGACTAAAAACAAGCTTCACAAAACTAATTTCGATATATGTGAAAGTACTTTCATAATGGAACGTCTACATCGAAACTTTATTATTAGTTTCATGTAACCATTTTCGTAATGTAAATCTACCTTAAACGTACGCTGTTTCAAAACAATTTTTACGAAAAACCGGCAACATTGTTTGTTCTCCTATCACAAAAAACTATAAAGCACAGATGTAAAATTTTTTTGTTTATTAAAATCTAAGTTTTGCGGTGGTAAGTCCCTCTGTGCAAATATCAATATAAAAATTTGCCATTTGTGCTCGATATGAATTTTGTTCACAATTTCAATAAAACTAAGGGTCTGCGCATATTTGAAGGAAGATGCATCGCTTGTTATCCGTTCCGTAACGGATTCATCAGAAAATTATCATATGATATTCTACCTTGCACACTAGACCAATATTTCCTTGATATGCTCTAGGGATCTTCTGTAAATACATACTGGAAAAATATTAGTACAAGGGATGTTATTAGTGCTAATGTGGATATAAAACCACAAAAATATTATTTCTGATTTAATTTTTGTATATATATAAACTTAAAAAAGTTCACATACGCATGTTTGCGTATGTAAGTCTTCATAGTGCCGCATCTGCCTTTGCATCAGTCTCCACATTCGAAACATCCCTAATTATTAGGAAGTCTGTATTTGGCACAAAGCTCTATAATTTAGGTACATTAACATTAAGTTTACTTTTTGTTCTATTAAAAGATTCCCTGGAAATAACAATTGTGAAATGCACGAAAACGAAATTTAATCTTTATTTTTTAATGAAATGTTATTTCTAGTATATTTGGTTATATGAAACCCTTGAATGGTTTAATAATTAAATTTGTTACTGTAGAACAGGTTTTAGTTTATATTTACCTACTTCAAAACATCGTTCAGGTTTTCAATTGATTTGAAACAGACGTTTAGAAGTGAAAAACCAACAGCTTAGAAGTTAAAATGTTATCAAATTATAGATAATACCGCTGGGTCGGAGATGTAGTGCGGTACGCAGACATACTTGCAAGTTGTAATTGGCAATGGTGAGGGTTGTACATAGTGGGCCCCAGATACTAAGGATTTTAATCAAATTTTATAATTGCTAAAAAGTTACATAATAGTTCTGAGAATAATATCATTGCCGTTTATCCATGTTGAGTATAAATGTAATATTTTTCTTTTTCAAACTACACTCTTTTTATCTTAAACATTTTTATTTGTTTGTTTTATAATGGAGTAGTTACTAGATTTAGATAAGAAAACATGCTAGCTACCATTGGTTAAACCAGCTTGCAAAAATTTATGTATAGATCATGATACTTCTGAAAATTAATAATTTTATTCTAACTCTTAGTATCTTGTGCTCCCAATGTATATTTATGTAGACTTTAATGTTACGTCCTGCTGCTAAACTTATGCAATGTGCCTTTGTTTTGATACTGTTAAATCAATTTTTATAAAAAAAATAGTTCCACTAAACAGTGAGCAATAGTACTTAAACTGTAAGGTTTGGCTCAAACCAGTCAAATGCCACTAATCTATTGACAAGTATCGCAACAACGCTCTCGTTACAAGTGAGACTTTGACTTCGGAGCACTTTCGTGACAATTATTATTTAAATGACTAGAAGGTGCCTGTACAAATTATTTATTTTTTATGTTATTTTAACATACAAAATATAGATTTAGTTTAAGGTCCTTAACTATGAGTATTGAAGAAAGCTAGTTAGCTTGTTTACATATACAATTTAAATCACTATATTAAGATGTAAATTAATCAAAATTTTTGTATTTGTGCTCAATAAAGCAGTATAAATTCTGTACTATATAGGTATAATTTGAAAGATATTCATTATAAAAGATATTTTCTCGTAAGTTATAATGTAATTCTGTTCCTTATTCAGGTTTCAATACAAATTATTGAATCACATTCTAGTTTCTACCAAAATAAGAAGTGTTGTAAAATCACAAAGCATATGAAAGACAATTGATTAAACTTTGAAACACTTATAAACAGCTCCTCATTTCTTTATGAACAATGACAACATGTAAGTACAGTAAAAAGTAATATACATTCTTCGTACTTTTAGATGGTTTGTGTGCTCAGAATATAATAACATTATTCATCCAGGCTGCAGATACACGTTACACGTATTCCTTGTGTTAAGTTTTTTGGGGTCGATAAATGAATAAGTAAGACTATAAAAAAGTTAATTTTTGTGTGTCATTCATTTTAGAAACAGTGGTTCCAAAGCGTTTAGAAATAATGTTGCATTTTTCAACTTGAAGCTCATGTAGGTAGTATAGTTGCAAAATAAATATGTAGGTAATTAATGTGGCACATTAGCATATGACAATAATAATAAATGGATGTACGTAATGAAAGCTAGAATATTTTACTTTCATATGGCAGAGGCATGTTGCACAAGTTTGGCATTGTAAAGATAGTTGGTTATTAAGATAGTATTACATGTAAGTTGCTGCACATAAAAATTGTCGTTTTAATAATATTTTATGAAATTGAATGAAATATATTGTTTTATAAACATTCAAATTGATAATGACTAGTTTTATTTATAGAAACTAACTATAATTATATAGACTATTGCCTTTCCTTAATTTACATAATTACCGAATTATTCAAGATAACTCAAAATCATGTCATTTACTGAGATTTTGACAGCTCGAAAAGTCTGCTTTGCCATCACTGTCAATGTCGAGGCTGTGTGAATTCTATCAGCAAAAAGCAAACTTTCCTGAGAAAATCAGCAAACAAAATACTAAACCACAATTCGGCAGGCGTTACATATTTGGATTTGATCCATAATTGTTGGTGCTGCTGATGCTGAATTGACATTAGTAGGGCCACAAAAATCTATTTCATTTTTCTAAAATGTTTATTTTGGTATGAATTTGTAAAACATATATTTTTCATCAAAAGCATTCGACTGCGTTAGTCATGAAACACTGTTGGGGAAATTATATCTTTCTGCTATAATTCAAAAAGTAGTAATTAATGAAGCGAAATCTATAGGGGCACTCATTACTATGGGTGTACCTCAGGGATTGGTATTAGGACCATTGCTTTTTCTAATTAACATTAATGATCTTCCTCGCTTTACTAACAATTTGTTCTCGCACAAATTATTTGCTGTTGACACCACTTTAGCGTTTGAAGTTAAGAGGGGTAATGATTGTTTAGACGATGTAAATAATGCTCTAGACACAGTTCTACAGTGGTTTGATAATAATAATTAAAAGCTTAATTCAAATAAAACGAAATGCATATTTTCATTACCAAATGTGAGGCATGTTACACTTATAAATGTTAAAATAAATGAAAAAGTTGAGTTGGTGGAATCTACAAAGTTCCTTGGTGTTAACGCACTACTCCCGCGAGAGGACCCGCGGCCGCGACCGCCGTCCGCGCACCCTCCCCGCGCCCACTGCCTCACCGCCGCACCGAAACGAGCGGCGAACGCGACCCACTTCCGTTGAGATCGCTATTCATGAATGACGTACGCAACGACAGTACGACTATATACTTATATCAAGCAGTTGTAATTGAGATTATTATTCAATATATAGACTATGCACGCAAGTAGTCGCATTATTTTATAGCCGAGCAAGTCTTGCCACTTAGTATGACACTTGATTCCCGACTGCAATGGGATCCTCATATTGATAACTTGTCAAGAAGACTGAGTTCTGCAGCATTTGTTAAGAAAATTAAGACTTGACTTAAAAATTAGACCCTTGACAAATGTTGAAACGGCAGGATTGATATATTTTAGTTATTTTCATAGTGTAATGACATATGGTCTATTGTTGTGGGGTTCTGCGGCTAGCATTCATGATATTTTTATTCTACAAAAGAGAGTTGCCGCGTTATAATATAATTTACGGTCTAGGGAATCTCAGAGAAATATTTAAAGAAATAAATATTTTGACTGTTGCCTCTCAATACTTCTATGAAAATATTATGTACGCAAGAAAAAATTACGATTCCGTCACAAAAAAAGTAGTATCATAATCTCTAACACAAGAAATAAAAATAAACTTGCCGTCCCAAGCTTCAGACTTCAGAAAACCAGAGGGTCATTTCTGGGTAAATGCATTGCTATGTTCAATAAAGTTCTACAAAATGTAATTGACCTAACCATAAAAATAAGTTTAAAATTCATGTAAAGAACGCACTTATGAGTAAAGGCTATTATAAAGTTGATGATTATTATAAGGACCTCAATGCAATGGAATTAATAGCCTTCGCTTTGTTCTATAACAATTAATTATATGTACAAACTATGATCTACAGACTTTGAAAGCGATTATTGTGATAATACATATTATTTTGGTAATGACATGATTTGTTAATGTCATTAATTATGATAAAGAGCTGGTTTTCTTTCGCTTGTTCTTCTTGTCAGCTAAAAGACGTCCTAAACAAGTGGTAGGGGAAAAACAATTTTTGGACGATTCAAAAGTGCTTGTAACAAGCTTACTTGAATAAAAATATTTTCATTTCATCATTCATCAACAATGTCGAGACATGCTGGGGGCATTCATTATTATTTTGGGGGCTGGGGGTTTAGCACTCCCTGCTGGATCACAGGCTCTTCTGTTTAGTAGGTATGCCATATCATTCCAATCATTATTCGTTCCACAGGCGAATGTGACTTTAAAAGTTACACAATTCCATAAATCACTATCACAACACTATACATTTGAAAGGGTTTGTGATAACTTTTAAAATTAGACAAGTCACTGGTTTTATTGTAACTGGTCTTTTGATGACTATAATATATTTATTTAATAATTATCTAAGACAATACGGACACAAATAATTATTTACACAACATAGTGTGATCGAGTTCACTAGGTTAAATATTTAAACTAATATACCTAATAGAAGTATCAAAATCATACAGACTTATGCCGTTGAATTAGGTTTATTAAATTTTTATTGCCAGTATAAACAGTCTCGGTTCAGCTTTCAATAGAAAGACTCAATCAGTTTGGATATTTGTACTTCACACATAAGAAAAACGATTTAAAATATAAACCAATTTTATTTATTTACAACTTAATTTTAAAGTAATTAACAAGAACTCAAAACTTTATTTATGAAAAGCATCCGTTGTTTACTTCAGATCATCATCATCAAACAGATCTTCAAAATCTGAAAAAAAAGTCAGCTTATTATTGAAAATACAATAAAAGCTCATTCAAGGTTTCCTTAAATGCATTTTCATTATTACCTGATAAAAAATTATAATCCACTTTTTACGAGGCAATAATGATCATTATATTGTGGCTAAAAATCTTTCATCAATGATTAACTTAAAGGGATCCAGTGTCATTTAAACATCAGCATTTTTGCATGCTGCAAGCATATGTCAAGGCAGCTTTTCTCAAGTGTGTATGAATGAATTTTCCAAAAATACTACTTAATATGAATTAACCAAAAGTAGTAGTACTGGAGGAAAGTTAACCTAGCATTTCATAGACAAGATTTACTTTGGGTGAAAGTTTACATTGGTATGATCAAATGAAGGCATATGTTTAAAGGCTAAAATAAATGCTCCATGCATTTTTTTATCTAAATTTATATATATGATAATTTTAAATTTGAAAATCCTTTTATACAAATTTAAAAAGCACCATAAAAGTATTATAGGTAACACATTATTAAATGAGTGCTCTACCATTAAAGAAATCCGCATGTACAGCCTTTTCATTTGCAGCTAAGTCCATCAACAAATTGGATGGACCTCCAGCCTGGAAATAAAGAAAATTTAGTAATTAATCTTTTTCAGATTCAAACTATGGATGAAGATGCAGTCAATGAAGAGAAGAAAGTTAACATGCTGATGCCCTTTCCTCCTCTATGCAGGATGTAATTACGATGTTTGCAGCAGTATAGTTACAATATCCATTCCAAAACTCGTTTGTCCCAGTATTGGCATGATAATAACTGGGCTTAATTTTTGGTGTTATTTTGCCTATCTGTTAACTTTCGGTGGCTTTTTATTTAAGTCACGTTTTATTCGGGCAAAATCAAAACGACGACATTGCTCGATTGATTGTTGTTTTCAGTCGCCAATAAAACAAAGTACATGGTAAAAAATGTCTTTGTTGGTTAGTTAGAGAAATTTACAGATAAGCACAGAGGTTTATCTCTATATATCAATCAGTTTGAGTTTGCCTACACATAAAATCACTTACAGTTATAATTAAATCGTATTATTTATGGAATCACCATATGATCGATCAGTTAGAACAATAAACACGTTTAGTATCAAATTGTCATACTTCTTCTAAGTCCATGTACGGTCCTACGCCTTCTGGGAACATTTCATCAGCAGCGACAGTCGGTTTCATTATGACTAATTAATTACAACTGCTTTTCCTTTTTTTAACAATAAATAAATAAACACACGATGGATGACAATTGAATGAAGATGACAGTGACACAGAGCTTTTTTTAGTTTACGGCCCTGGACGCTAGTTTTTTTAATTTACATAGTTTCGTGACAGAATGCGAAACACTAAATTGGTTCATTGTTCTTCTCATTCTCAGATGTTTAATATGAACACCGTTAACATTTCGAGTGTTTTGTATGAAACGTATATAATTTGTGCTTTTATTTAGGATTTAGATAAAATTTACTAAAATTGTATCCCCATCCCCATTTATTTTTGTTATATTTTATAAATGAAAACAAAAAGAAACACCTTTTTCTACAAAAAACCTCATCTGTCAAAGAGCCGTTTAATGACTGTCGCGGCCCCCACGACCGCGTGCTTTTTTTTTCTATTATCGAAGTATTTAAATACCTAGGTCAAAGATTTAACGGGTCGTCATTAACACTCCATTCACTCTGCAAAGCCAAACGAGAACTTTTTTTGTGTGAGACTGGTACTTTATTTAAATTATCTCTAACCAAGCATAAAGTATACATTTCTATTATCGAAGTATTTAAATACCTAGGTCAAAGATTTAACGGGTCGTCATGAACACTCTATTCACTCTGCAAAGCCAAAGGAGAACTTTTTTTTTTGTGTGAGACTGGTACTTTATTCAAATTATCTCTAACCAAGCATAAAGTATACATTATAATTATCGAAGTATTTAAATACCTAGGTCAAAGATTTAACGGGTCGTCATGAACACTCTCTTCACTCTGCAAAGCCAAAGGAGAACTTTTTTTTGTGTGAGACTGGTACTTTATTCAAATTATCTCTAACCAAGCATAAAGTATACATTATAATTATCGAAGTATTTAAATACCTAGGTCAAAGATTTAACGGGTCGTCATGAACACTCTCTTCACTCTGCAAAGCCAAAGGAGAACTTTTTTTTGTGTGAGACTGGTACTTTATTCAAATTATCTCTAACCAAGCATAAAGTATACATTAATAGATACAGGGTAAATAACCCTTACTCATCATCATTTTATTTTATTTTTAGGCGCCATCAAAATGTTCATCATATGGTGGATATTTTATTATTTATGTAGCAACACAAAAGAGCATTAAGAAAATCTATGGCAACCCCATCCCTAAATTATGTTCCAATTCATGCTGTGAATCAATCTAATTGAACAATGTGGAATTATTAATTTTATTTGCTATGAATTATTGTTATTTCAGACCTCTAAGTGTCAAATACAAAGATATTTTAAATGAATCGAAGCTCGTCAACGCAGATTAGGCCCGGCTTGAGTCCATTCAGTGCATGGCTTATTATAATAAACACATAGCAAACAAATTATGAATTCGATTTTCACAATATTGATATATGATTCGACTACTAGGAGTGTCCCTAGTAGTCGAATCATATATCGAGTTATTATAAGGTGCTATGGGGTAATGCACAAAACAGGCAAATTCAGGATGCCTGTAAGTAACGAATTAACAACAACAACAGGCTTTTAGTAGATAATTTTTTTTTTTAATTATAACAAATAGATTTTCCCCACTTTCGTAATTACTCCCAACTACCCTACCGAAAGCTAGGCTGTGGGTAAAAATCCCTTTGCGTTTGTTTTAATTTACTGCACTAAATTTTTTTTAAAATGAGTTTTATGGCTGTGCATACTAGTATTTCTAGAACAATTATACCATTTTTTAAACTTAATTATCTAAAACGAGGGAACTTTCATGCCTGAAAATTTGATGAAACATAAAGGTTTGAGTCTAGATGCTATAATAATTTTCTTTATAGTGGTTAGATTTTTTCAGAATAAAGTACCAAAATAAAGTACCAGAGAACCCCAGCCCATTCAAAATTCTATCTAAATTCCTTGCAATCAATAATAGTTCTAATTTATAAATATCTTTGTTTTCTATATACTTTCTATTTGTATTATCTTTAACAATGTAAATATATATATTTTTATTTTATTTAAATTCAAAATTGACATATTTTATTATTGTTTCTTTACGTGTAAAGACCACGAACGTGACATTGGCGGAATTGTGTAAACGCAAATAGGCCATTAAAAAAGAAGCTATACTTAACACCTTTGAAACTATAAAAAAACTGTTTATCTTTGATTATAACAGCAACAGATTAGAGAATTATTAAATTCGTAATCAGAGTTCTCTGGTTTATATTAGTATTATCGATCTAAGTCCGTTATTTTTTTACAAAAGTGATACCAAGGTTCTCCGTGAAAGGCTAACACGTTTTGAACAAATGTGTTTATTACATTCATACTTTTATAAATCACACACGTGTATCTATAATTAGGGGTCGGGCCAAACAAAATATATTTTTATTGATGATAAAATGATTTCATATGACAATAAGATAATCTTAGCGCCCATGGTACGTATTGGTACATTGCCTATGAGATTATTAGCTTTGCGTTATGGAGCTGATATTGTATATACTGAAGAATTAATCGACTGGAAATTTTTACGATCAAAACGAAAATATAATGGTAAGTGCATTAATTATCATCTCTGACATATTGTAACTTGCTAGCTGTATTATGATATCATAGCTTTAGATATTTATTTACAACAATCAGTTCAATTATTCCAGCAATACTTCATACAGTTGATTATGTAGATCAAACTGATGGTACCATAGTTTTTCGGACATGCTGTGAAGAAAAAGAAAAAGTAGTCTTACAATTAGGTACTTCAGATGTATCACGAGCTCTGAAAGTAGCTCAGATAGTGTAAGTAAAACATATTGTAGATAACTTATGAAATAGTCAACATATTGTAGATAACAAATAAAATAGTCAACATATGTCCTTTACAAGATTAAGCTTCTGATTTTTTTAAACAAACAACAGTTACTGTCATACATAAACCCTTTTCATTAATGTTTGATGATTTGTTCACTATACCTCTCATGAAAAATTATGGAGTTTTAAGATAATCCTTTTCATATAACTGACTGATAAACATGACCTTGTATATCAATATTCTGATAATTGATAACAATCTTATGTAATAACTTTAAACATATTCTTAATGAAAAATGCTTACCAAAATCAATTCTTTCATTAAGAATATTTTTTAGTATAGCATTGTGAATGCAACATTGATCAAATATAATAACTTTAAACATGATGTTTATGATATGATAAATTTTTAAGTGTATTATAACATTCAAAATCTAAAGTATTATAAATATTACATATGTTGATAATAATCAATTAAAATATTTAAATAAAAAATTACAGACAGAGTGATGTGGCTGCAATTGATATTAATATGGGATGTCCAAAAGAATTTTCTATAAAGGGTGGAATGGGTGTTGCGTTATTGGCAAAACCTGACAAAGCATACAATATACTATCTACCTTAGTGAATAATTTATCAATTCCAGTAACTTGTAAGATTAGAATATTGGACACAAAAGAAGAAACTTTGAAGGTAGTGAACTACCTTGTTAGCTCTGGGATAAAAGCCATTGCAATTCATGGCAGGACACGAGACGAAAGGCCACAGCATGCCGTTCACACAGATGTAATTAAATATGTAGCTGAAAGGGTATCAATCCCAGTTATAGCAAAGTGAGTAACTGTTGGTAAATTAGAGAGAACTAACTCTGCATCATATATTGCTCTCAAATAATTATTTTTTTAACCTTATCTTTTAGTGGAGGCTCCAAAGAGATAGAGAAGTATAATGATATACTTAAGTTCAAAGACATAACAGGCTGTACCAGTGTAATGATTGCTCGAGCTGCAGAATGGAATTGTTCTATATTTAGAAAAGAAGGCTTATTACCAATGGATAGTGTAATTAAAGACTATCTTAAACTTGCTGTAGATTATGACAATTCTCCGTCTAACACTAAATATTGTATACAGAACATATTGAGAGATTTGCAAGAGACACCGAGAGGACGTCAATTTTTAGAGTGTCAGACTCTAGATCAAATATGGTTTGTACATTTTTTATTATACTAGCCATCACCACATGGATGCATAGATTTACAATTAAAACAATGCACATACTGCACCCAGACTGATAGATTAAACAAATTATAATACACCTTTAGCTACCATATGATATGCCATTGTATGTATATGCATTTTAGTGCTATTTGGGATCTACAAGAATATTGTAAAGAGAAACAATCATGCCATCAAAAGTTGGGTATTCAAGGGAGATGGCAAGTCTCTCCTGATGAATTAGAGCCACCTCAGAAAAAACAGAAATCAATTGATACTGACTTAAGTGATGTAATTCAAAAGAAGGTAAGTAGTAATTATTAAGTGTATGTGATCATAATAATTAACTGGTACCACAAATAATCAAATAATTTTTGTTTTAGGTATGTTTCATTAGAGCAAATTTCAATGATTTAAATTTACCAAAATCCCGACTGCATGTTTGGGCAGGTAAAAATGGATATAAACTTCCAATTTATGAAACGCAGCAAATTGAAAAGCTGTTCCGAACTATTATTACTTTCAATGGGAAAAAGTATACATCATCATTTTGGGAAAAAAATAAGAAATTTGCAGAGCAAGGTGCAGCATTAGTTTGTTTATTTCATATAGGCTTGATCACAGAAGCAGACTTACTAAAATTTGGAAGCATAATAAAATAAATGTTCACATTTTGTTATTGTTATGGTTTTATTTTCTTAAGGACATCAGATACATTTCTTTCAAATATTTTCTATTTATTATGTGACTTCATGCTTCCTATATTTTCAATAAGTTTATTATTAAGATCTTCTAAAATTGAGTTCAGCCCGTCTAGGTTTCTTATGTTATTTTTCAATTGTGTAAAGTTGCTATGACAAAGAGAAGCACTTTGAAGAATAATTTCATTTTCAGAGGCTGTTACTTTTTCTGGTTTTTTTATATGTGCAAGATCTATATCTGCCAAGTCTTCTAATATTTGTGATGAACTTGGTAACTTTGGTTCAGTGTATTTAGAAAAATCCATTATTATTCAGAATTATGCCTTTAAACAAGAGCAATCACTATCGATTATGTACACAGACTACGAAGGAGATTCTAGTTTATATACAAGTATCACAAAGAATTGGGAAAGTGTATAAAAATTATAAAAAAAAATAATTAAATTCAATCTAATCACTTCTTCTATCTTAATGGCATAGATAATACATAATACTGGTATAGATGCGCCACTTAAGAATAATTTTCATTTTAAGCGGACGCCATGGCCAAGAGATGGCGTTAGTTTCTATGCGAAGTTTTAAGCATGCTATTTAACCTGTTATAGTAACGACCAGTATTTCTAATAGATGGCTCTGATAACTATTTTTAAAATTTGGTTTATTAGGGATTATTAGTAACTCGCAAAACCAAAATTGTTCTCAAAGCAGAGAAACTTTTTATTTTATTTGAAAAAATTCTTCTCTAATAATCAATTTAGAGTTTTGTTGATGTTAAATATTTTTTCAATAAAATAAAAAGTTATTCTGTCCTAAGGAACAATTTAAGTTTTGCGGGTTACTACGTGTTTGCTTTCCAGTGTCGTCGATATGTGGATAAAATGTAGTCAAAAAATCTTTATAGTATATTTTTCCCATATTTAATATTTTTTTATAAATTAAAGAGCAAATGTATAATTTTCTTTATACTATATTCCAAGCAAACCAGCAGTATAATTCAGTTAGCGTATTTTATTCATATAATTACAGATCATATAAAATTACATAATGAAATGTAACTAAACTATAAAGATAAAATAATCAAATTGATTTATTGGTAATAGTAGAAATCAGATAAACATTGGTCACTGTGATTTCTATTATTATTGGAAAAAATTAGACGATATTTCTTTCTCAAGCACCCGACTCTTTTTCTATAAATGATAATCTTAATTTATTCCATTACAGATATTACTATAAAAGTAATTCTCTCTCTTACTTAAGAAAATCAGGAATCAGAAATGCATGTTACCTACAGTAATCATTTTTTTAGGCTGTTTTTTTTATCTTCATGTAAAATATATTCAATTTGTATGATTAAAATAATATAGCTAATTAATTAAGTTTGCAAAATATTGACAGTTACTATTTCAGTTGATAAACTTAGGACGAAATAAACGGTGGTACGACGCACCGTTACAACCTTAAGAGTTTGAAAGTAGAGTTTAAAATGAACTAGAGAAATTTGACAGTTCATGGTACCCTGACGTGCAGTCGTGTGTACTTGAAAATACAAAAAGTCAGCCATAGATACTTAATATGATAAAATAGATAAACAATCTTAACACGTCTCGTAAAAATTGACTGAACAAATTTTGATGAGAATTAAACGTGAGACAAAATACAAAGATTGAAGAATAATTAAATATTTACAATTTTTTTTTTCATCAAGTAAGGAAGAAATTCTGACATCAACATAGAAGAATTACTGGGATGATATTTAGTAAGTTAACAAGTATATTATAATGGGACAAATTATCACACAAAAATCTTTACTTTAAAATGATAAATAAATAAATAAAAAGACCATGTTTATCTATCTTACACATTTGATAGAAAAATATTTAATTAACACTTTTTCATACGATGTATTTTATTATAATTGAAAGCCTGTAATTTTATTTCATCATTACGATCAAAATCAACAATCTTCCCATTTAATAATCTATTGACACCAGTGCACCAACTATTAATGATTAAATTAATTGATAACGTAATGATATACTTAACCAACACCAATTTATGTTTTTGACAACTGATCATTGAAAAATCACATCGACAATCAATAAAGAAAATAATTTTTTTATCAATATCGGTCATTTGAGGTGTATCCCTTAAACATGTAATAATCATAAAATAAATTTCATTGAGAAGTTTAACAAAATCATCGCGTGCATAAAATAAAGATTTCTTTGTATAATCAATTGCATAATTAAATGAATCAACATTCCTCTCAGATTCCAGTAAATCGACATTACATACTTCACATTTTTTATAAATATTTGTTTTACATTTTTTTATTATATAACCAGCAACATATCTTTTCGCCTCAACATGTATAATCGATTCACTTGATGTTATTTCATTCAAAGCAGTAATTAAAGAATCAATTTCGCATGCAAAATCAGTGTAGCAGGGAGAGTCACATTTTTCTAACAATAAAAATTTCAACGATTGCAATTGCTCATAATCATCTTTTTCACAATTAGCATTAATAGAATGGCTTGAATTTATGTTATTAATCAAAACTGTTTTAAATGCATTCATAAACTGCGTGCACGTTGGATTGATATTTCTGATTCCATTACTTCTTATACAGCAAAAGGAATTTTCTAGGGGATCCTGGTTAAAATTTCTCATTATAATATTTTTTATTTTAAATTTTTTTCGTAAATAATTCCACAGTTCTATGATAGTATTTACATTATGTATCCAGTTCTGAACAGATGGGATTTTTTCATATTTGACAATTTTTGAACCATCTTTTTGTATAATATGTTTTTCAAATTGTATTGATTTTAAAATCGGGATTATTTCCTGGGTCCAGAACTGAATATGTGGGGAATTATTCTTAAGACACCCTTTAAGAACTTTTGCTGTATCACAGTAAGAGTGACCATTAAAAGAATCGAACAATTTGTCAAATATCAATAAAAGGTCTGCCGTATCTTCACATTCAGCAGGTAGCACATTGCGTCCTGAAAAAAATAATAAAATAATTTATGTAGTAATTGCTGTAATAATATCACGAAAATGTAAGTGTGGCTAGAGTACCAATAGTTCTGTACAACAATTTTAAAACTTTATAAAAGCACTTTAAGTAGCTCGGTGGCGTAGTGGATAAGCGCCGCGGCCCGGTCAGTCACGGGATGGGAGACCAAAAAATTATTATCTCGAGCTACTCCGTGCTTCGGAAGGCACGTTAAGCCGTTGGTCCCGGCTGCATTTGCAGTCTTTAATACCCTCCAATCCGCATTGGCCCAGCGTGGAGGGTCATGGCCCATGCTCCTTAACCATAAGGAAGGCCCCTGCAGTGGGGACGTAAAAGGGCTGGTGATGATGATGATGATAAAGCATAAGCACTGTACATTGCTAAAATAGAAAGACAAGTAAATTATGTCCAAGTTCTTTCCCGGTATTTGTATGAATGATGGAGGTTATCAAATTATAAATAAATACAATTAAACTTACGTGCTAAAAATCCCATTACTGCTGACACTCTTTGGCTAAATATTTGGGCTGCATATTAAACCTTCATTTTTGGAATTTTTTCCTCATACACATGGTATTCGGTTAATTTATTCAAAATTCTTATTTCGTCTTCACCTGTGTCTTCATTCAAAAGCATTTTTAAATGTTCCCATTTGGCAATTTTTTGTTTCCCATTTTGTTGGAATTTTATATTTTTAGACAGAAAATTATTTCGAATTCCTTTCAATAGATGGGGTGTGTCAAATAAAGGAAAAACTTTCAAATTGTCTATTTCGAAAGAATTAGATTGGTACTCTATATTTTCTCGTAAATATTTCTCCCTTGTCTCTTTTTGGAACATTTTAATTGTGCTAACATTTGATGTTCCTTGATCGCAAATCGTGACTACAATGATAATACCAGCTTCTTTTAGCTGTTTTATGGTATTAGTTGTAATTGTTTTTAATTCGATATTCTTTGTTGCGCTTTTACAGAACGTAAATAAAATTGGTTGTTTCGTTTTAGATTTCACACCTTTAATCATCAACACCAAAGCATGATCTGCAATATTTTTCGTTTTTTTTTTTGTCCAAAATCTTCAAAACCGATGATTTCATGTTTATTAAAATATAATCCAGGCGATAATGCTACCTCATCAAACAAAAGTATGTAAAGTCTTTTTTCAATAGGTAGGTTGCTTACTATTTTTTTTAAATGACTCATAATTTTTGTGTTCAGCCCTGGCTTTATTTTTATTACCTTTAAAAGTCTTTGCAATGTTCTTTTAGATGGCAGTACTATTATTTTGCGTAAGAAATTGTATGCCTTATTGCTTTGTTTTAAAATGGAGGCAGCCATTACTTTTTCTTCTATCGAAAATTTCATACCTCTAGATTTTTTGTTGCCTTTTAGTTGCATATTCATGAAAACCTTAACAGTTTCAGGCATTGCTTCAACAATTTTTAAAAATTTTTGATAATTTTTTTACCATTTTCATTTTAGTCTGCTGACTTTTACATTTCTTTGTTAATTTTAAAATTTTCTGAGATAACCTATGGATTATATTTTTTTGTTTTTTTCTTGTTTGTTCTGTAAACAAATAATTATTACACTTATTAGAGCTATGACAAAACAAAATTATAGCTTAAACATTTTTTACTACCTTCTCGAATTCATCCATAACACATTCACTGGATTGTCAAAAAGACTAGCTTCTTACTAAGTGTTATTAATATAACTTTAGGGATGAAAATATTCTTAATGAAAAATGTATAGCATTGCAAATGCAAAATTGATCAAATATAATATTTAGGGAATTAGAGATGATTTACAAAGGTTTTATGTACATTTCCAACAATTATTAATAAATAGATTCTCACCTAAGCTTTTCAATTCAGTTTTGGATGAAAAAGTCAATGGTTCTGTTGGCGATTCTGTTATATTATGACTGCTTGTTGCAGATGAGGTTGACGGCCCTTCTTCAACTCTAGGATTAGTAGTATCTTCTGAAATAGTAAAATAATCATAATGTAAAAATTCATAGGCATAAACTACCTGATATATGGTCTGCACATTTCACAGAAAATACACAGTATTCTTTAATGGAAGACACACTCATGATAAAGAGCCAAAGTAATACATACTGCCACAGGTAAAAAAGGTAAAATCTAAAGGAATAGTCTTTATTTGTATACACAAATAGTAAATATATGAAAGAACAAAAATATTAGAAATGTGTTTTTTCATTTTTATGTATGTTTTGTGTCTCGGTGTATTTTATCATCAAATTGGATTAGAAAGATTTGCCCTTGCAATTATTTCAAAAATTTTGTTAATTCTTCAAAAATAGACAAACATGAGTAGGTTAGAAATGGGGGCTGCAATTTTCAACACTTAGGTGCTTTTATTGGTCCTTTGTACATGACAAATAAATATTAATTCATATTAATAACAACTTAAAATAAAAAATTCTCAAATATTTAAATACAAAAATTAGATAAATGTGA